TTTAAGGAGCTGATATTATTCAATAAACACATCGAAAATTTCAGTCAAGAAAGAGAGCAGAGGAGAGTTTGGTGATCTCTTGAACAAATCACCATTAAGGCGCCAAGATAGGTTCCTCAAGAAAAGGGAGGAACAAGGGAAAACAGGAGGTTTTCCCCGTGGACCGACCCGTGACGAGATCCTATTCCGTGGGCCCATAACATTCTCTCAATTCTTCACTATCCCTCTCTACTTCAAAGAAGATCCTGGAATTTCTTTCCTCCCACAGAACCCAACATACTGCAGCCCTCAGGCATCTCCACATGGACACCAACCAAATTTTTCTGTCCAAACAAGAACGGTCCAAGAACATTTTACTAAGAAGGGATATAAGTTCATCTACCAACCCCATTTCTAACTCCCTTAGACCTCTCCTTAGTCCCAAACCAAGAATTTTCATTACCACAAACAGAGGAGATTACTCTCCCTTTGGTTAGGGAAAAGGAATACATAGAAATCTATCTTTTAGAGAGGCATCCCCAAACCGAACATCTTCCTAGAAAAGCACTTTGTTACCTAGACAAGCAGCAAACCTGATATATGGAAGAAAGGAGGGCAATAAACCATGAATCACTTTCCAAGGAGACGACTGAGAAGCCCTAGGGTCAAGACCAGCATCCCAACCATTGTCTTCCATGCCATAAATACTCACAATCACTTTATGCCACAAATTATCCTGGTCCAGAGGCAATCTCCATAATCATTTTCCCAATAGTGTCAGATTCCTTAGGTTGATATTTCCTATCCCCACTTCTAGACACCACCTCCCACTTCATTAGATGATCTTTCTTTGTATCTCTTGGCTCCCACAGGAAACCCATCATTAATTCCTTCGATTGGCTAGCCACTTTAGTGGGGATCTTGAAGGTAGATAAGTAGTAGACTAGCAAGTTAGTCAAAGTTGACTTTATTAGTGTTATTATTCATCCCCCTAAAGAGATAATTTCTCTTCCACCCTGCTAAGCCTCTTTATTAGAGTTATTATTCTCTTCCCTAGTTAGAAGTTGTCCATTCCACTCCAACTAAGAAACAATATTTCTTCTTTTTGTCCCATTTGCTACTGAATGGAAAAAAACTTTTATTACCATCACCTTCCTTTAACCACTAGGATCTAGATTTTTGTCTCCAACTGATCTCTTTTCTCAAAATCTCTTCCAATTCCTGTTTAAACTTTTAACCTCCACCTTTCAACTCTTTCTTCCACCCTTAATCTCCTTCCCCTTCAAGACCATCTAAATCCTCTATCCTATGTGCTATCCAAACCTTTCTTTCCTCCAAAAGCCCAAAACCCTCCTTACTCCACTCTTTAATCCCAGCCTTCAATCTTTGCAGTTTCTTATAAAATCTATACCCCTTTGACCGAAACTCCACCTGATCCTCCTCCCATCATTCTCTCATTTTTGTTTTGCAGTCCGGATGAAGGAGCCACATATTCTCAAATCTTTTAAGGGCACAAACCTCCTCCCACTCTTTCTTGGAAAATTCTGATTAGGTGGTGATCTGAAGTAGATCTCAATAAATCTCTAACTACCAAACCCCTCCAACCTTCCTCTCAATCTGCAAAATACAGAAATCTATCCATTTTGCAACAGATGGGTGTCTCTTGAAAATTGGACCAAGTATACTTCGCTTGTAATAGAGGCAGCACTCTCAAATCATTAGAATCCACAAATTGATTGAACTTTCACATTCTAGAGGTATTTGTTTTATGTAGGAACCTAATCACATTAAAATCCCCTGCAAGTAGGGGTGCAATCAAGTAGAGCCGAGCCAAACTTTAGCATGTCTTGGCTCGGCTTGACTAAAACACTACTAGGTTCAAGTTCGATTCGAACTATACTTTCCAATTCAAGCTCGGCTTGATTAAATTTTATATGAGCTCAGGTTTGGCTCAAAAACTCAAAATTGAATATATTTTATATTTTATATATGATATATTATTTTATAATATATAGTATATTCTATAATATGCATTTATGTATGTTTTCACGAGCTTTTGAACCGCACTTTTTATTGGTGGAGCTCAAGATCGAATAACTAATCGAGCTTACCCTGAGGTTCATACTCAGTTCAAGCTCGATTAGAATCAAACTTAAGCCTAAACTATCTGATTAGAGCTCAATTTGATTGCAGACTTAGCCACAAGCACCATGGGCCCACCCAAAGGGCTCTAATTTCTAATGATTCCTCCTAAAGACCTTCCCTCTCCCTATAAGAAGTGGATCCATAAACCAGGCCATCTTCCTTTCTCTTTAACTTGACAGAGATGGAGAAATTTCCAATCAATTCTTTCAAGCACACTAGGTCTTCATTTTTTTTCACAAAAGCAATAATTCCCCCAGAAGATCCCCATGATTGTGAAAAGGCCCAGCTCATTCCTCTAACAGTCCAGATCTGCCTTACCCACCTTCTCTCCACATCAGACAACTTTGACTCTTGAAACAGCACTGTATTTGGCTTCTCCTTCCTCAACAATTCTCTTATCGCACTTCTTTTTCTTTCACTACCCAAACCCCTTACATTCCAACTTACCCACCTTCTCTCCACATCAGACAACTTTGACTCTTGAAGCAGCACTATATTTGGCTTCTCCTTCCTCAACAACTCTCTTATCGCTCTTCTTTTTCTTTCACTACCCAAACCCCTTACATTCCAACTTATCATGTTCATGTAAAACAACTTAGAGCTGACCCTTTACTCATTCACTGCCCTTTCATTACTTGTTTCCTTCCTTCTGATACTCCATTATCATAATCCACTTCACAAGTTAGCCCCTCCACCTCACTTAATTTTTTCTTTCTTTTCTTATTTGATCCTCGTGTCCTCTTACTTAATTCCCTTGGTTCACTAGGTTTTTCCTTAACACCCCCCCCGTTTGCTCCTTCCCTTCTTTTTGCACTTCCGTGATCCTTTTTTAATTTCAGTATTTTCCCCATTCTCCTTTTTTTGGTTAGCAGGACTTGGTTGACCCTGGTTTCCAAAACAAGGACTATTGCTAGGAAAGGTTTCCTTAGAATCAACGTTTGGACTTTTAACCGAGGAAAGGGGTATGTACTATGTAGTAGCTTTGCCAAAAAGTTGTGGGTTGTTTTTTCAATGCCCACTATCACCTTGCAAACTTTGTCTGCAATTGGTTCTCCACTCTCTTCCATTTCAGTTTTTTCCTCACCTGAAAGAACACCCTTTATTCCTAAGTGCTGTTGCACCTTAGTCATAGCCCTTGTTTGTGTCTCACAAGTGCCATCTTCGAAAAACAGTGTCAGACAAGCATCTTCCTCAACCCCAATCTTGGCTCTGATATTGCTTTCCACACTTCCTATAATGGATTCCTCTGAAGAACCTTCTACATCAATGTTCTCCTTACCTAGACTGATCCAATCTGAATCAAAATCTTCATCCCTTTCCTTTCCACGATTGTACCTTGGATTTGTATTCTCTAGGCTTAGAGTAAGAGACTAGCCTTGGTTTCCAAACCCAAATTCCTTCCATCACCGCTTTCCTCTACACTTCAGTCGTAGAGTCCTTTTGGGACGATGATAGAGCATTAGAACCATTTGCTAATGTTCGATTACAAACCCCAGTGACATGACCATTGAACTGGTCACATGACGTCATGACCTGAACTTACTTGGCCAAAATGTTTTCTTTGAGCCAGATGGCCAAAATGTTTCACTTAAAGGCCCATGTAACAAAGTTTGCCCCCCCCCCCCTCTCTAAGACCACCATCGACCTGAGATGCTTCTGGAGCAAATAAGATTTCTCTCTCTAGCCACTGTTCCGTTTCTAACAAATAATGCTTAAGCTCCTGTTGACCTCCAGCTACCCCCATACATCTCAAACCTCAAGGCCCAGAATACCAACTATCTTTGTCCATGATCAGACACTCCTGCTGATTAGTAATTTCTGTTACTTCCACTACTAAAGAAGAAATTAGGCTCTTCATTCTTCCACCATTAGCAATAGCATGAAAGAATCTAGTATTGCAATCCCCCTCCTTGATCCATTTTACTCTGGACTGCTGCTTCCAACTGATTTCCTCCCTTAAAAATGTTTCCTCTAATTCTTTCTTTAATTTACACCTCAAATCTCTCTCTCCACCTTCAAGGGAGCTCGTCTCTTCCTTCCTATTAATTTCCTCAATCTGTGATATTATAATTGTCTTCCTTTCCTCCAATCTCCCAAAGGTCATTCTATTCCATTCTTTAATTTCTTCCTTTAAGCACAGTAGCTTCCTCAAAAATCTTTGACCTTCCCATTTTGGCAATTGCCTTTGCATATTCCAGCACACTTTTACCTTTTCCTTGAAATCTGGGTGGGTCAACCACAAATTCTTGAACCTAAAAGGGGAAGGCCCCCGCAAAGTTCTCCACTGGAAGATCTTGCTCAAGAAGTTTCCTATTTGATATCTATGACATAGGGGCTTATGGACCACCAAAGGTGCATCATGAATGATAAATCTTGCTATTGGACTTGTAAAAGGAGACAACAAATCTAAAATACTAAGATGAGTTATGCTCAAGCTTTTGCATTGAATGTCAATATACTTGTTTCTTTTCAATAAGCAATTGAATCAGGGAAAAAGAAAAGTAGCTTCATCATATTTAACTTAATATAGAGCATAAATTAGCATACTAACACTATGAGTCAGAGAAAGGCCCATATTATGAAATTTTTGCATGTTATACATACATTATAGTTTATAGACACAGCATACCAGTTTTAAGAAACATATAGCACGATTTGCATGACATATGGAACGTATTTCCACAGATGAGGGCATCTCAGGAGCCAACTGTAAAGCAAGTTCATATTGTGACAATGCATCTTCATACTGTCCTGCTCCAAAAAGTTTATTGCCTTCAGCTTTTGCATCAGCAGCTTGGGACAAAGCTCTCTGCTTCAAAAATAAATAATAAAAAGTTAAATGAGTAAACATTTTAGGATTGAAGAGAAAAATACTATGGCAGAACACAATAAAGTGGTTGCATATTTATCTATATATCAATCTGTCCATCTATCTACAGAAATACACACATACATGTGAAATTCATCCAATGTAAATCACAGATAAATTTCTTGCACTTCCATTCCAAAACATTCAGACAAGATAAAATACAGGAAAATCATGAAATTTGTATACCATGACAAACAGTTAAGCTTAATAACTTTAAGAGAAATGGTAAAAAATGAAAATTCAAGAAAACTGAAAATCTCAAGATAAAGCCTAGAAGTCACAAAAAGAATGCAAAAATAAGATAAATCAATAAATATACACTATACCCTAGTCTATTGTGAACTTATTACAAGGTTTTAGGCTATTAGAATATCAAACTACAATATGTGCAGTCTTTTTGCTTGTTAAATTTGTTGCAAATGGTTTGATTAGAAATATAACAATAGAAGAGTCCTCAATCAAAAAATTAGAATGTACTACTTCTCACAACTGAACCCTAAAGCATTATTTATTGTTTGTGAACCTTTATACTTTTAAACAGCTTTTCAAGCACAACCAAATTCCTCCAACAAAAATCCATTGCCCCAGATTCCATATATATTTCAACTAACACTCCCATCTTTCTTGTTATTAAATTTCTAGTTTCGGCATATTGAGCATCCAGCTTAAAATCAACTACCTTGCTAAATTAACAGAAAACCATCATTTCAATAAGTCAAGGACTGTATTTGTTAACAATAAGAAAGCAACCACATTAGATATTCTCATAAAGGAACAAATGTTTGTTGATAAAAAAAAAAAAGGACAGCAATATTTCTTAGGATAACATGACAAAATATGCTAAGCAACTTAAAGTAGGCAAATTAACTGAATGTTGCCCTTTTTTTTGTTTTCTTTTTTGTTATTTTATTTATTTATTTATTTTTCTGAAACCAACTGAATGTTACTCCTAATGGAGAATCATCAATAACTAACTCATACACAGGATTCAGAAGAGACCTTCAAGCTTTACAACGAATAATTTGATCTGGAAAATGATTAAGTGAGAGAATTGCAACGAGCTGTGATCGTTTCATTCAATAATCCCAAAATAATCGAAACAAAATATACTTCCCATTATCCCAAAAAGAAATGAGAAATAACCCAAAAGAAATAAGTGTTCCAATATTCTGGTTAGTTTTCAGAAGCAAATGAATCCAGAAAAGATCTTAGAAGAAAGTGAAATTAAAAAGGGACCTCTTTCAACTGTTCATCTGTCAATGCATCTTCATAAGAGTCATCTTTAGAAGGTGCAGCTTGTTCTTCGCCTTCTCCATCTCCTTCACCTTCACCATCACTGGCTGTTAGGTAACCTTCAGCTTCCCTCGTCGTTGTTTCTTCATCTGAAGCAGTAGAAGCCTTTTCCGGAGCACTTGAATTAACAGATTGTTGCGGGGTTTCGTCTTCGGTGACCACCATTTCTCTTCAATCGACGCTCGATCAAAAGCTGTCGGTTAAAATATCAAGTCGAAGAATACGAATCAATTATATCAAATGATTCAAAATTAAGGATGGAAGAGTATCACTTCGAGTAAGTTCTGCAGAGATTAATAACGGAGGACTGGGAAAAAGAAAAAAAAAATATTAGGGTTTAGAATCTTCCAGAGAAGATTTTTTTTATAGATCTTCCCTTCTTTTTATAAGCTAAAAAAGCGAAAGAGATACCCAAGAGATGAAGAAATTTCGTTATTCGGTGAAACCCTTTGATGAAGACATGAAGCTCCTAGACGAGCCCGAGCCGTCCTCAAAGAGATTCTACGACTTCCGGGAGCGGAAGATCCAGAATTTTGCAATTTTAGAAAAAAAAAAAGGAGGAAATGCTGCTTTCGACGGTACAAGTTTGTCACAAAAATGCCATGCCACATTGCCACTCGGCAAAACTTAAGAAATAAGGAAAAATTCCTCAACAGTACCCTGAATTTTGGGGTTGTGTGGAGTCAGTCCTCGAACTTTAAAACCTATTTCTGCAATATTCTAAACTTTCAAATTGTGTCTAATTGGTCCCTACGGTTAGTTGATCGTTAATCAATACCGTCACATGACATCAGGTGTGCATTATATAATTTTGAAATATTAAAATTACTCTTTATGATAATTTTTTGACCATTTTACCATTTTGTCTGAGTGTTAGAAGAATGAAAGGGGAAAAAGAGTTATGAAACTGGCACCAACCAACTGTTGAAGCTTCTGCTCTCCTATTCAAGCTCCCCCGTTCAACAATGACAATCACTGCCCGATTTCATAACCCTTTTTCCCCTTTCCTTCTATTAACACCTAGACAAAATGGGTAAAGTGGTCAAAAATATGTCATAAAGGGTAATTTTGTTATTATGAAATTATTTAATATGCACTTAATGTCATGTGACAGTGTTGGTTGACAGTCAACTAACGATAGGAACCTATTAAACACAATTTGAAAGTTTAGGGTATTGTAGAGACGCATTTTGAGATTCAGGAACTGACTTGACACAACCCCTAAAGTTCAAGGTACTATTGAGGAATTTTCCCAAAGAATAATTGTTTGCTGACGCATCCAGTAGGCAACAAACCAGGTTAGTTATTCCAGACGAAAAACGTTTTGTTGTTTAAAAAAAAAGAATAATAGCCTCAACTGTCTTGAGCTCTTTGGCATGACATGTTCTCAACACTAATTTTTAAGTAGCATCATTGGCCTTGATTCCAACCCCAGTTAGGGCTGTCAACGGGTCTAGATCAAGTTTAGGTTGAACCATTTCGAACCGATTATTAATCGGGACAAAATCATAGATCTAGAACCATCCCAGTTAATAATCGGGTCTATTAGGATTGGAAACTTTTATTTTTATTTAAATAATTACTTAAATTTTAAATTTTGATAATATAACCTTAATAAAAATGATAGAAAAATACTAAATTATTCATGTATTAATAAACTAAACATTTTAACTAATATTATCTTATTTATTATCTACCAAATTTATCATTTTAAACACAAAATATGATAAAAATTATAATAAAATTAAGAAAAATATTATATATATATTTAATAAAATAATTAGTTCTAGTGAATTAGTTTGGAACATGCAAGAATCAGAACTGGTCCAACTATTAATCAAAGACAAAATCATGGAATCAGAGCCGTTATAATCGGTTCAATCGGTTCAGGTTCATTGGGTAAACTTGACTAATTGAGAGCCCTACCCTTGTGGCAATCCTCCATCCTTAATCCCTAATAAGACAGGTTACTAGACTTGGCAATTGGGTCGAGTTCAAGTTTGAATTTGGTCAAGGCAATGTTAGGTCATACTAAATTAGGTTAGCTTGGTCAACAAAGACTAGACCCAACCCATAAATATTTAAGTTGGGTCCACAAGTTGGATGGGTCAATGGTTCAACCACCCAAGTCAATTGGTCTTTGACCAAGTCAATGGTCTTTTACCAAAAATATAGATTTAAGCATTTAGTTTGAGTAGTTCAAATAGCTCAACTATTCGATTAAACAACCCATCCCGACTTACAGAATTAGATAGGGGATCCTAGACCTCTAGACCTGTTCTTTTCAAATTGGGTTAGGTTGGGTTCATAGGTTGGGTCGACTTTTGGCAGATCTATTTTCCCATAAAAACTTATTTTGAAAAAATGATTTAATTAAATGGATGAAAAAATCAAATTGAAATTGGTTTGCATTCAGGGTTGAGGAAAGGCACAAACCTTATCAACGAGAAAAATCAACCTCCATCCTCTATCCCCAATAGAGACGGATTCCCATCGAGGAACTGAATCCTTTTTTTTTTTTGGGAAATTGTCCAAAACCCACCATCACTTTTTATGAATTCTCATAAACTCACCACAACCTTTCAAAACGTCCAAAACTCACCATGTTACTAATGGGAGTTAACACATTACCATTTTACCCTTCATAGAAAAATATAAAATATATACCTATATATTTTAATATTTTAACTACAAAAATATGAAAAAAGGAAAATGTTCAAAAAATATTTTCAAATATAAAATACATAAAAACAGAAAAATTACAAAAAAATAATAAAAAAAACTATAGAAATTGAAAACAAAATCAGAAAATAAAAATTGTAGAAAAACACAGAAATTGCAAATAAATAACAAAAAATACAGAAAATTTTATAGATTGTAGAAAATAGAAAAACGTAAAAAACAGAAATTAGAAAAAGCATTGGAAATTATAACAAAACACTAAAAATGCAAAAAAAAACAAGAAAATTGAAAACTAAAAAAGACAAAAGAAACTTGAAAAATATAAAGATTGGATAAAAACAGAAATTTCAAATATACATAAAATGATAAAAATTCAAAAATTATATATTATAGAAAAAATAAAAAATTGTAAAAAAAACACAAGAAAGTGATAAAATTTTCAAAAAGATAATAAAAACCTACACAAAAATACATAAAATGATAAATATTTAAAAATATCAACTAAAAAAGCAAAAATAAAAAAAAAAAGATTTTTTTTAATTATATATTTTAGAAAAAATAAAAAATTACAAGCAAATTAATAAAATGATAAATTTTTTCAAAAAATAAACAAAAATTAGACATTGAATCCGAAGATTGTTGCAATAGAATTTCAAAAAGAATTTCAAACAATTAGATAAACAAATACAAAAATATATTTTTTGCATAAATTTGTAGAACCCTCGATGGGGATTTACATTCCAGATTCAAAAGAATACATTGCAAATGTTTTGAAACATAAAAAATCTTTGAAATTTATGATCGTCTTCTTTCAAATCTTCAAACTAGTAGATCGTCTTCTTCAAGATCTAAGCGAGAGAGAAGGTGATACGACGACAACAAGATCCGAAGAGGGTGGTGAGGCGGCGGCAAGATCTAAGCAAGAGAGAGGGTGATGCAGTGAACCAGTGACTACATTCAAGATCTGAGCAAGAGAAGGTGGTGCGGTGGCTAGATCTAAGCGAGTGAGAGGGTGATGCAATGATTACCTTCAATATCTGAGCGAGAGAAGGTGGTGTGGCTGCCAGATCTAAGCGAGATGCAACGACTACCTTCAAGATCTGAATGAGAGAAGATGGTGTGGAGGCCAGATCTGAGCGAGAGAGGTAGAATAGAGAGAGAGAGACAAAAAAATTTGGTCTAACCCTAACCTAAATGACCATTTCCCCTAATTCACCATTCAAGGGGTAATTTGGTAAGGAAAAGTGTTATTTATGCTGACATGGCCATTTATGTTAAGAAACATTAACGGTGCACTAACGGAAGGTGAGTTTTGGAAAATAAAACTCATCTGACATGGTGAGTTTTGGATGTTTTGAAAAGTTGTGGTGGGTTTAAGAGAATTCATAAAAAGTGATGGTGGGTTTGGGGCAATTTCCCTTTCTTTTATTTAAAAGGGGAATTTTCAGTTTAGTATCCTAAACTTTGGGGGTAGTGTCAAGTTAGTACCCAAACTTCAAAACGTTACATACATAAATCGACATATTAAATGACACAAATACCCTTTGAACGTCATTTAATTTTCTTTACAATGCCCTTTGTGAAAATAAAAGAAATGACACGTTTTGAAGACGCCCACAATCATATAAATTTCCGTATACCTGAGAAGGAACAATCTAAAGAATTAAAAAAATTAAGAAAAATTAACTTGTTTGTACAAATTACTTTAAATTCAATCCTTATTATATATTTGGATAAATACGGAAGACCAGCTCTATTGCAATATCTTAACCGCACAAAGCGGACTTCAGGATCATTAACATTAATTGGTAAAAGAAATACTAAACAGGGAAACTAAGTAAAGAAATGAAAAGCTAAGGTAAAACATCATTGTGAAGAAATGGACAAAGAGATCCAACATCTTAACAGAGCAGAAATATCTAGTTTCTGATTCACAGAACGTTATGGATCCTCCTTGCGACTACCCCTTCCCCATCCCACCTGTGACTCTCCTAAACCTAAGCTTTTTAGCAAATTTGCATCCCCAAATTCAGTACTATACATACATAAGTGAATCAGTTATCCAAATTAAAGAAAATAAATAGTTCCTTACCAAATGTATATGCAGTTGGATACATGGATCACTCGAGAAGACTGTTCCTAAATATAATGGTGTTATCATTGATGCATTCCCAATCTGATACCTTGTTCCTCGCAATCTCCTTTGCATTCAGAGGCCTTAATCTTACAGAAACAAAAATCTTCTCTTTTCAGGTACCTTAATTTTTCCTGCACCTTCTCCCAATGCACAGGTTCCTCCCCACCAATTTGCCCCATATCTACACCCCTACTGGCTATCACCTCCTAGAGCCAGAATTAAAGGGGGGATATGGATGGTAAGTGGTTCAGATGAATGGCAACGGTACTCACTGCAAGATGGTTCAAATGCTATAAACGAGGTTGTACTCGTATACAACATTAGACCCAACCTCCATTATAACCTTATTGTCTACAACTGCTACCTAATGATAACTTAGTTCTAATTAAGCCCTGTTGATTAATTCATCATTGTCGGTTTGAATGTCAAGGAGACTCAAAATCGCGACCTCTTGTGCTTTGAGATGAAGTTATGTTGTTTTATGCATTTAAATAGCCAGTGATTTGGATTTCTCGGAGATGGTCGTCCACATACATTATAGACAGTTTCAGCTTTCTTCCTACTATTTTTCCTTTCATGTTTTCCCGGGCACTAAAAATTTCACTAGTTATATCATAGAACATTCCTGGAGAACCTACAAGCATCAAAAGTTCAACTTTGAGTTCTCCCTTGTTTTCGAGGAATGTTAGATATTAAGATCTGCGCCAACTTTTTCAGCAATGTAGTTCAGTTGGAGTTCCAATTGTAC